TTACGAAAAAAAATACCATTCCCGAGAAAGAAACAAAACTCTCAAACTCTCAAATTTTTTTTTTACTTTAAAACTGTTTCTTCCTCTTCAGGTATTGGAGAGTCCGGTTTGTCTGCCTCGATTTGTTTGTTTAGGTCTTCTACGATAAACACAAAACATACAATGAAAAAAGAACGATCTTAACGTGTTCCTTTGACGAGAGAGAGAGAGAGAGAGAGAGAGAGAGAGAGAGAGAGAGAGAGAGCCTATATTGTTCATGGTATTACTTTCTTATGTCGACGCTTGTAATACATGGGCATTAAGCTTTCACGCCTTACCAAAATGAACGACCAAGTTAAAATGAAACACACGGGTAAGGAGAAGGAGAAGGGAGAGGAGGCGGAGGAGGAGGAGGAAGAGAAGGAGAAGTAGTCGCCGTGGGAAACCGTAGTTACAGTAACAGAGATACAGTGACGGGGAGGAGGAGGCTTGACGAGTGTTGTGTTGTGATAGGAAATGTCGCCTCTGATACAACAATAGGTACTGCTGACGCTCGGTGCTGACGCCTGCTATCCCCTGGACGCTGACACTTGGTGACGACTCTTATAATTGAAAAAGATGACCGAGTGTGACTACTGTATTTGTATAGTGGTTGAGGAGGAGGGGGGGGAGGGAAGGGGAGGAGAGGAGGGTGGGGGGGGGAGGAGGAAGAGAGGGAGGGTGGGGGTAGGGAGGAGGAGGAGGGTGGGAGTAAGGGGAGGAGGAGGAGGGAGGGTGGGGGGTAAGGGGAGGAGAGGGAGGGTGGGGTAAGGGAGGAGGAGAGGAGGGAGGTGGGGGGGGGGGAGGAGAGGGAGGGTGGGGGTAAGGGGAGGAGAAGGAACATGGGGAAAAGGGGGGGGGTTGGTAATGACTTCTGGTACCTGGGTGATGACTGATGAGTGTTACTTGAGTGATAAGTGGACGAAAAGTGTTACTTGATGATCAGTTCTTTTGGGGGCGATAAGAAACCAAACACTGCAAACACAACAGAAAACACTTGACAGATTCTTACCTTTCGTTTTAAGACTCTCAACCATCGTTTTCTGCAGCATTAATCCTGCCACGTAACTTGTAGTCTGGCTCCACATCCTTCACCTCGCGAGCCATCCTCAGAGTTTCGTCACTATCTGTTAACTAAGACAAGGAACAATATAGTGTTCTAGACTCTCCTCCACTGATATCAACTGAAGATTATGTTATATCTCGTCAAATTTTGTTATATATATTTTCGAGTCGGCAGTTTTCATATTACTCTTGATTTGTTCAGGTAAGGTTCCAATGTCTGTCGCTCCTTCATCTAGTTACCTGCATAGGCATCTCACTAGTTACAGATGGGTTACGTTCCAGATAAGTTATCCGTCTGACTCGAGGTTCCGTAACTCAAGGATGTGAACTGGCTCATTCTTTCTTGACAGGAACACATTCGCCGTTCTCCTTTGGTCTCTGTTTTGCCTTGTTCTGTACCTCATATTTATGGCTATCCGTGATGGAGAAAGTTTTATCGGCATACAGTAACTCATTTATTGCTTAAAAGTTATTCATAAATCTACTCCCCTAACACAACACAGAGCGGGGGAGGTGTGGGGATTGATTTTGCCGCTTACAGCGGCTACTTTGTTGTGCACCCCACACTCATCCTGTGAGCGGTAGCGCAAAAGGATTACAGAGTAGAGTTTACAAAGGGTTATAATAATTAACCCCCGTGGTCAGGATATTATGGCACTGAATGTTACACGGTATTTCAATTGCATTATTTGTTTAGTTCTATACATAAAGGGTAACTTCTTCACAAATGCGTGAGTACAGGCGTGTGAGGCAGTATGTCTGGCAGTACACTTTGTTATTCACATTTGCGTGAGAAGTATTCAAGCACATTGTGTATTTGGTTCTATACGTGAAAAAAGTGGATACAATCTTAATATGTCGGCTATCTTGCCATTAGAGATGAAGTGTTCTGCCATTTCACACACAGTGTGCTTGGACCTGTCCCTAAAAGGTTCTATCTTCACACAGTCGAGGACGTAGTGTTAGAGTGTGTGGCTATACGTCTGGCCACACACTTTACATTTAGTCTTGTTTACATCTGCCTGAGGAACATACTGCCAGAGGTACTTATATACTAACCTTAATCTAGCGGCTACAATCTAGTGATCTTGTTACTTGCTCCATATACATGTTTCACTTGATACATCTCATCATGGTAAACTATGGATCGAATAGTGCCTGTTTGCACTTGTCTACTTACGTCAAATTCATCAATAAGGTCTTTCCTATTTATAGTTTTAAGGGTTCTTTTTGACAGACCCAAATTGTATTCAACGGTGTCTTTGTTAGACGCGAGTTTGGCGAGGGCATCAACTCTGTCATGTTTTATGAGGCCTATGTGAGAGGGGATCCACAATAGTTTGCTTGGAGATAAGGGAGAGGAAAGAGGTGAAAGGAAGGGGGGGGTGAGAGCGAGGAGGGGATGTGAGAGAGAGAGGTAACAAAGCAAAGTTACGATAACATCAGTGTGGCGGAGGGAGTCAAACCTTGACTGTTTCCTGCGGTGACACACACTCTCAACCCTACAGTCTCTCGTCCTGACAGTGATCTGCTGTTAAAGGGTGCGACAAGACCTCTGCTGTTCCGAAATGTGATAGGATCTCTGATGTTATTAAGTGAGATAGGATCTCTTGATGCCATAACGGTGTGAAAGGATCTCTTCTTCCACAAGGTAAGATAAGACTCATTCCCTACTGCCGTGTAATGCGATAGGATTTCTGCTGTCACAAGTTGCAACGAGACCTCTGCTGACGGGATTTTCTCTAACGAGACGAAGTAACAAGAGGGACAAGGGCGTTATTTGTCACGATAGAAGTCTAGGAGGTAATACAGAGAAGAATCCGGGAATGAAAGTAAATAATACACATTACACACACTGATGCCTGAATGTCACAGCACTCTTCTGAATATCAAAGATGAAGGAAATACAATTGTACGGAAAGCCTAGACAGCTGTGTGAAGGCAATTGTTTGAGTACAAAGGGTAAAATATCAGATGCCAAATCGGTTAAAAAAACAAAAAAATTCAGAAAATGTTATTGAATGTACAGTGTACGGCAGCACAGAACATATTTACATTCGCTCCGCCAGGGGGCTGTTTGGGCTGTGTGGGCCGTAGATAGAGTTGGCCAAACTGGGCGCCATGTTGTTACTGAGCTAATGAAGAAGTTTTCGCTCGTACTTTAGAGGAAATAATGATGATGTTGTTTATTTAGTAAAATTATTATACTTGTTTACAATTGGATAAGCATGTTTGTAAACTATGTGGGAGACAGCCCAAGAAGATTTCCCACGCACTCGGTTGGCCGAACTCTATCTCCGACTCGTGTGTGGGTGATGATAATTTCTGCTGTTTCATAATCTGCAAAAAGAATAACTCCTTACTACCGGTATTACCAAACGTATGGTTATAACTCCTTCGTAGATGTAATTTCTATATGTACAGAACGAAATGCTGACAAGTTTCTATGCCCTTGGGACAATTTGATATTATAAATTTAAAGGCCAACTTAGCTGTGACCTGGGACCAGATTCAATAACGATTTACGATCACTTTTTGTCTCCTCGGCCACCCTTCAGGCTGAACGAGTGATTCACTAAAGTTTACGACTCATAACCGAACTTATCGTATACAGCAAACACTACAGTGTCCCCCGTGCACTCATAAGCTTCGGCAAACCGGAAATGAGATCCCGTAACTCCCGTACCAAAACACACACAGCTGTCAGACGTACTTCAGCTATTGAGAGTGAAGCTGTGAAGATGAAAGTGATGATTGCTTTAGCTCATGACCGTGCACTCTGATGACCACCTACAGCTTTCCACGGACATACTCTGGCTATGTGACAAAGATGCCTCATGTAGTCCCAACGCATATAAAGTTAGTATACTGTACACATAACCTATAATAACTACCGACCCAACACGTTAGTAAATATTTGTTTGTCATTCTTAAGATGTTTTGTACTATCATTAACCGATTTTTTTCTAATTATTACATAAAAATTAATCTTCTACAGCATCACCTTTACACCTGTACTTCTTACGAATGTTAACTAATAAAGAATATGCAAATCAATATATCAAATGCATATGAATTAAAACAAATACAAAAAAAAACATTGATATGAAAAGACAAATAATCTTCTCCCTAGAATAAAATAGAAAATCTTGGCTCACACTGTTATCAAAAAGACTCCCTTCCCTATACCCCCACTTCCTGGTACAGTATCTTGTCTTCTTTACTATATACCAGTCTTCTGAAAAATCTCGCGTTATATCACATCTCACATCTCATCACTATCCCCCCTCCTCATCACATCCTGTTTTTCACTCACCATCGCATTACCTTGATAAGTTGCCGTGGAAAATCCGGGAACACAGGAAGTAACAATGATACAGTAGGCAGTGGGACCCGTGTACTGTATCACGTGTTGGTGTTGTCAGTGGATGATGTCGGTGATTAGTGGGAATCCAGACTGAATTTTTGATATGTTGTTTTTGGTGTCTTATATGTCTTGCTTCGTCTCCTTTATTCGATTCTTCTTCTCGTCTAATAATTATAATTTTGAAATATCGATAATTTCTATATTTTTCGTTCTTTCGAAATTTTAAACGTGTAAAGGGACGACAATGCAAATACTAATTATACAAACTATAAATGAATAAACGTCATTACTAACCAAAAACTAACCTAATCTAACCATTTCCAACCAAATTTAGGTATTTTGGTTCTCTTGAAAATAAACAAAGTCCCAAATAAAACTCACAACAAAAATGTATTATAATAAACTAATTTCCATGAAGTTATTTATGACAAAGAACACAAAAACTTAACCCTCTTTGGAAGTTACATCATTTGGCTTAAAAACGGACATTTATTGTAATATTCACAACTTTCAAATTGATAAAATTGAAACAGCGATTTTGTTTTTGCAGGATACAAGTGTTGTACATGTTGTTAAGGCTGTACTTCTGATCATCACAACCCACAGCATGAGAGGGTCAGGTGTGGCCATGCTGCAGCTGCTCTTACTGGTGCAGGGTGTCCTCTCTCAGTCAGGTGGAGGAGGTGTGTGTCACGTCACCCAGGAGCCCGTCAGTGGGTAAGCCAAGCAACACCTTCATTTCTTACTTCAACTTTAGGCACAGACTGACATATCGCAATAGAGGCTGGAGTAGTGTCTCTTAACAAACATTTATTCAAAGTTAATTTTTTTTTCTTTAAAGTTTGTGAAGTTAAAGAGTAAATACTATTGCATAATCTCTTGGCAGAACTGAACTAATGCTATATATATTTTTTTTATTTGTGTGTGTGTGTGTGTGTGTGTGTTTGTGTGCCGTTTTAGGAATAATTGATAAATGGAGAAAATTTATATATTTTTCTTTAAAATTCAAACCAATTTGTATATTGGAACAATCATGTAAATTATCGTAATACAAATTATAAATGAAAAGCAGCGCTACTAACCTAACCTAACCTAACCTAACCAAGCCTAAACTAACCTAATCTAACGTAATTACTTATATTTTGCTTATATTATGATAGTAAACAACGACTTACATAAAAAATATTAAATTTAACTGTTGTACCCGTGAGGCAGAACGGTAATTGCGTTTTAACGATCAAACGGACGACTATCACTACAAATCCGTGAAACACACACACATACACACACACATACACAAACATACACAAACTACATTCACATACACACACACATACACAAACATACACAAACTACATTCACATACATACACACAGACACATTATATTTGTATGTCAGTTATAGAGACACTTCTTTAAAAACATGTATTATAACACAGATATCGGGGCACAGATGAACACGTAGTCTTATATTCTTCTATAATTATTAATGTTTAGGAAACCTCCATAAAAACATCAATCTAAGAAACCGTGAAGTGAAATCAACCGACACATTAATACGATTTACATATTAATTTTTTTTAAAGGTTACAAAATATTCATCTGCCTTAAAACTTTGAAGTTCATCACAAATACAACAACAGCAATAATAATAATAATAATAATAATAATAATAATAATAATAATAATAATAATAATAATAATATACGAGAGCAAGTTATGTTAGAGTGAGCTAGTCAACACACACACGAGGGCTCCTCTATTTCTTTAGCGCTGGAGAGTGAAAGATCTGTTCTTGTCAACAGGAGTCAACAACGCACTGTACAGGTCGGTGTCTTGACCTCGACTGATGCCGATAGTAACAGAGGCCTAGCAAGGGGTGGTCATGCTCGTAGCCGCGGTGATTCCTAACTGCTGAATGAGGTGGTTTAGAGAGTAGTTTACTAGTCCTAAACGACCCTTCTTTATGTTCTTGATTATCTTAACTCATTTAGTCCTTTTTTTATTCTTTAGGCTTCACGCTCACACGAATAGACAAGAGATGACTGTAACGCTCAGGGTATTGGATCATTAAATCTCAGGAAATCGTGTATAGTTTTACCCATTACGATAATTATTCTTGCCAGAAGTTCGGGTTAAATTCGCATAATGCCTTATGTGGCTGTGTTTTTATAGGACGATACTACAACCTCCATTATATGTAATATGGAAGCGGGGTGGAACTATGGAGAGAGAGAGAGAGAGAGAGAGAGAGAGAGAGAGAGAGAGAGAGAGAGAGAGAGACTATACTAAGTTGTCACCTTCCTTTCCAAATATTCTAACTTATCCTTACCCTCTACCGGGTCTACCCCTTCTATCAGGATGTGCTCGTCAGTAAAGATGCTGTTCGGAGCCCCCAGCAAGGTTCACCTGTCCGTACTGGAGGAGCTGTGTCACAAGGGCCAGCAGCATGTACTGATCAAGGGAAGAGGAGGAGTAGGAGGCAAGGGCGCTTCCATTGACCCCTCGTCACCCTTCAAGGAGCCATTGAGGGTAAGCTTTTATCCTCTTCGCCACTGATCGGCTTGTCAGCCTGGGTCAGTCGATTTCCGTATTATCGAGAACCTTCCCTGTTTATTGAGCGCCGCTAAACCTCTTTATTTCTATTGTTCATTTGGTAGTTTTTTCTTTTCCTATATCTCTTGAGATCCAGTTGAAAATATTGTCCCTTGATAATCTGCCCTCTCAGTACTTCCTCCATTATTTTTACGTTCCTTCGCTCTTAGATTCTGTATTTTGGATTGAAATCTCACCCGTGTCTTCCTTTGCCGGATTCTGTATTTTTTGCTGATGCAGTTTAAAGGCTTCTTCAGTTTGAAGTTTCTGTACCGTTTTTATTCCTTATCGTATGTTTAACATTCATTTGTTATTACTGATGCTACTCAATGGTCAAATGATATTTCTTTTTGACGAAGGAGAATGTTGCTGAAGGTGACATCTTTGCCAATATATATAGATAGAAGAAAATGTAATCATCAAGGTGTTTGGCTTAAAATAGTGATATGCATTTTATATAAATAAAATTCATGTATTTAATCGAGATTTGTCACATTACAGAGGGCGGAGCAGTTTGTCGTGATGAATCTACACCGTGATAGTTTTAGTGACAAAGTCACCTGGAGTTCTGGTGATGCTCGCGACGTTATATGTGAGAAAAGTTGGTTCGTGGACGAAGAGGTGGCACTCGCCAACAGCTACAGTTGGTACCGACACGGACTGCCCATCTGGCCGCTCCTTAACCAAACTCTGGCACCAAAAATTTCTCGTTTTTCTCGCCAGAAGAAACTGGATTGGCCCAACTATGCCATAGCTACTCCACTGTATATTGTTCCCTATGAGAATTTGAACCTTCGCGATCCAAAGATTGCTATTAATAAGCTGTTTACAGGAGATACAGTTCACCAGCAAGACAAACTTAAGCTTCAGAATGAATTTGTTCAGTCTGTCAATTTTCAGAAGGACATCCTTGAGTTTTATGAGGACAGAAATGCTGATATTATCCAGGACGCTAAGGACTATATGAACTGGTTGTTGCCACTGATGAACAAAAGCCTTCGTTCTATGATTGAATCCTTTAAAGAAAGACAGAAGAAAAGAGCTCCAAAGCATAGTGAAGTGTCTTTCTGCCCCGATGAGCTGTATGTTTTCTTCCTGGAGAAGCCCTGTTCTAGTGTTTCCTCCTGCCACCTCCTGAACCATCTACAACTGATTCTCAGGACCGTCGGCTGCTCCGCCATCACTGATGTCGTGGTCGGCTTCTCGAGACAGTAGCTGGATCGTGTGTATCAACCACTGAGTAATTCACCATCTTTTACTCTATAAATTCAATGATGTTAAAATGTACAGTCCTATCGCCAGGTAGCATGAAGCTTTTCCAACTCTCATGAGTAATTACTGTCAAGTGACCATAAAATTACTGAAACGTAACAAAATTATCACAAAAAAACAACCTTGTTTGCCTTAGTAACTTGATTTACTTTTGGGCAGTAGTAGGCTAAGATATGAGTATTTATCTTTTACACATAAACAAAATAAATGTTGAATGTTTTAGTCGAACAGTGATCTGAGGCGCCATACCTTACTATTGAACCTTTTGTTATTCAGTGGCAACGACCCCTGTTTACACACACACTTACTACTTACCCACCCTATTATTTCTCCTTGGATGGTATTCTCTCTTTTAGTAGATTTATGATATATTAATCTACTTCTGTTATCCAAAATAATAAGTCTCCAAGATTACATCGAGTTTTTTTTTAAGTCCAAACCTATTTGTGTGTGTGAACCATCTCATACCTCCACCCACACGTACGGTCCCCCAGATGCATCTTCCTTCTCTCCCCCACAACCCCCCCTCCCTCCCCACTCCTCCTTCGTTGGCTGAAGACGGCCTTATAAGAGGGAGGAAGTTACAACAAGGCTTCAGTCACTTCCTAAGACAGACTAGGACAGGCGGACGTAAGGTTCTCTGAGGCACTGTATGGGACCCCTATACCAAGTAAGTCAAGTACGAGAGCCACTTTATTTTAGGAAGTGGAAAAAAGTTCGCCTGGCAGACCTTCTATTGTTTGGGTGGAGGGAACACCAGTAGTTGTTAAATGCTCCTGCTGACGAAACAATCGGTTACGTTAGGTTGAGATTAGATTAGGTTAGGTTATTATTAGGTTGAGTTGGGTGATAGTCAAAGTTACGTTAGATTAAATTAAGGTTAAGTTAGATTAAAATATGCTATGGTTAAATTAGATTAGAATAAGGCTAGGTTAAGGTGAGGTAAGGTTAGGTCCAGGTTAAGTCTAGGTAAAGTTAAATTAGATCAATGTTAGATTAAGTCGAGGCTAGATTAAGGCGAGGTTAAGGTTAGGTTACAACAAGCATTGAGAATAAGTGACACAACGGGAGTCATCGAAACTCCTAATGTCATATACACTTCTCAGCACACTTGATAATTATGTTATTACTGAACCTCAACTTCTTATCACTGATCCCCTGCACGTTGCTAGAGTAATATCCTTTCCTACAATGGTGTATTTCTGCAGCATTTCCTACAATACAATCTATCACTCCTGGCATTCCTACAATTGCTTGCATCGGGTGAACTAAGCCATCTACATCTCTACCTGATTCGTAAATTATTTGGTGAGTTGTGAGGGTAAGTCATGCATCACTAGGTCCACTGTAGTCCGGTCCATGTGTTGATGTAGGACGAAAGTAGTCATAGTTAGGGTGTTAACACGCCTGTCTACTTCAGTTTATTATTTGTATATCTGGACTACAACCAGGGGAAATGCGTACGATGTTAGTTATTATTATTATCAAGATTTTATTATTTATATTTTATTATTATTATTATTTATATTAATTTATATTCTTATTAATATTACTACAACTAATAATATTAATACTATTGCTATCATTATTATTATTTCACGTAAGAAACTTAAGTCTGTGGATCTATTATCTAAAGTGTGTGTGCGTGTGTGTGTCTATATGCAAAAGTGAGTTTATGATATATTTTCCTTCGTGACATATTTCCAGGAGGACCGGGGTATGATGTGGATGTCGTGTATCGTTGTGGTGGTGATGATGCTGGGAGGTGTCCTGGGTCAGCCTGGTGGAGGGGCGTGTCCTGTCACCAACACACCCGTGGACGAGTAGGTGTTGTTATGTGAGTGAGATAGAGAGATGAAAAAAATATATATATAATGAGAGAGACAAAGAGCTAAACCAATGTCATATGTAATTATATAACCTGTTCCTTACACTGCCAGAATGTGCACCTCCATCAAACTGACGGAGATCCAACTTGACGACCTACAGGAGCTGTGCCAACAGTCAAATCCGCCGACTAGAGGCTCTTCAGGACGTGCAGGACCTGTTCCCCGTGTCCGGTCCGGCCCTTCAGCACCCTGCGACCTTACTCAGGTCCAATGCAACGTCCTGCGTGAGCTCTGTCTGAAGGGCCGGCAGCACCTTCTGGTAAAGTGTCACGGTTTTGGCTGCATACTGAAACTTCAAAAATCTTGATTCTCGTTCTATATCCTGTTTAAGTTGCTTGTAGCGGCACGTGACAGTAGTGTGATGACACGTAATAGTAATTTAGTGACACGTGGCAGTAATGTAGTGGCACGTGACAGTAGTGTTGTGTCAAGTGACATTAGTGTAGTGACACGTGACATTGGTATAGTGGCACGTGACAGTAGTGTAGTGGCATGTGACAGTAGTGCAGGTGTAGGAGTCATCTGATTTAATAGTAAATATAAAACACTTTACAGTATTAAGAATTTGTGCGTGAGGTGGTCGTCTCCCTCACTCTTCCAGCAGTGCGAAGATGAATGCTAAGGTTGAGATGAAAAGTTCAAAAGAATTACATAATGCGCGTGATAAGGGATAGTGAAAAAAGAAACGTGAGAATGACGTAACAGTACATAAGTGTAATATGTATATGGTTCTCATATTCACAGCTGGCAACGCTCGACTGGCAAGATAATTGTGTCTGGGATATCTAGAGTATGTTTAAGAACATTATAATGAGGTAAACATAATTGGTCATGGTACCTCTAACGGGAACTGTCACATACAAAGTTTGACTGGTCATTTTTCTGCTCTTGTTACCAACTGCTGTGTTATTCTAGTCCTACCATTACTCGGGGACATACTTTTCCTGCTGTGTCCTCCGTCAACGTAATTACAGAAACTTTTACTTCCTCCACAGCATACTGTAAATGGGTTAGAATTATCTAATATTCCCGAGTTCTTTAAAAGAAACATGCAAATAACTGTTAACCGAGTACAAAAATAATAATAACCATATTTTCCTTTTTGTCGTTACAGAAGAAAGATGACTATGACCACTTTGCCGTGATGAACCTGCACCGTGACGCCTGCAGCGACCAAGTCAGCTGGTCATCCGGTGATGCTCGTGATGTTTTCCGTGACAGGAATTGGTTCGTTGATGATAAGGTGGCACTCACCAACGGCTACAGCTGGTACCGTCACGGACTGCCCATCTGGCCGCTCCCCAACCAGACTTTTGGGTCCAAGCGCTCCTGGAGAAAGGCCTTCCGTAAGTCGGTCTGGCCCAACTACGCCATCGCTGCTCCGCTTTCTGTTGTTACTGACAGATATGCAGGTCTTTATATAGATGATCTTCGCTTAGCTATAAGAAAGTTCTTTAAGGGAGATATTGATACTAAAGGAGTAAATAAAGCCGACCTTGATAAGTTTTCTCGATCATCTACTTTTATGGAATATGTAGAAAATTTTTGCAAGAGAATGTTTACTAGCCAAGACGGAAGTGTCCCAGCCGACGTCACCGTCAATACATATAAACAATGGCTTCAACCAGTGATGAAGGAAAGTCTCCATTCAATGATAAAATCTTACAAGAGTAAGCAAAAAAGGAGAGGAAGTTCATGTCCTCAAGTTGTTTATGTCTTCCTCCAGCAAGAGCCACGTTACGGTTTTCTCTGCCACCTCGCCCAGGACCTCCAAGTTACTCTCAAGGGTGTCAAGTGCGCTGACACAACCAGGTTGGTGGTTGGCTTCAATGACCTCGACGAAGAGTAATTATAAATGTGATGCTGCGTATGACACACTGATATAAACTATGTGATATATGACACCTTATAACCTATGTGTTGTTCTCAAGACAGACACTGATATGATTTAGGTAATACTCTTGGGTACAACGACTGGGTTTTTTTTCATTGAAGAGCGAGGAATATGTTTGAGAGCTTATAAACGAGTTTGAAGCAGACACAAACCAACTGAACCTAATGAGGAGAGAGTAGTTTTGGTTAGGTTTATTTGGTGTGATTGGTCTGCTTCATACATGGTTTTCAAATTTGGTTGTTTTCTGTTCTACTTAAAACTTAAACGCATCATTGAAGAAAAAATGTACTGTCAATAAAAATAAATTGGTCGAATGCAGTACCATACAAGCTTCCTGCTATGGTATTGAGGGAATTACTACACCACGTAAGGCCCCTCATAACACTATCTGCGAGGGCATTACTAAACCACGTGAGGTCCCTCATAACACCATCTGTGATGGCATTACTAACCCACATGAGGTCCCTCATAGCACCATCTGCGAGGGCATTCCTACACCACGTGAGGTTCCTCATGACACCATCTATGAGAGAGCTACTACACATCTTCAACATTGCTAAAGCTGCCTCCCGAAAGCTCGGGATGCTGTACAGATGCCATAGCTACTTCACTCCTGAGCAATTGCTTCAAGTATATAAGGGATTCATTCGCCCTAACTTGGAGTACTGCTCTCATATCTGGGGTGGCTCTTCTTCTGTCCAATAGTTAGATAGGGTGGTATCAAAGGCATTTCGTCTTATTAACTCTCCTCCTTTAGTTGATAATCTTTCTTCCCTTTCTCTTCGCCGCCATGTTGCTTCACTCTCTCTCTTTTACAGGTACTTTAACAGGCAATGTTCGGTGGATTTGGCACCCTGTGTACCGCTGGCAAGGCCGTGGGGTCGTAGCACTCGTCTTGCCCGTGGTGCCCACCGTTTCTCTGTGGATGTCGGTCACACTAGAATAACCCGTTATAGTACATCCTTCTTTCCTCACACAGCCAAACTGTGGAATGCTCTGCCTTCTTCTGTGTTTCCATACTCCTACAATCAGTCTCACTTCAAAAAGCTAGTTTTTCAGGCATCTTCGTGGTGCAGATTAATATAGCCTTTTTCTTTTATATTTTTAATATCTTTTTACTCCTATTTTTTCGCCTTCTAGGCCCCGTTGTGGGTCGATGACATGTTCCCGGGTGGGCTATTCCCCGTAAAAATAGAAAAAAAGTGTTTGTTGTTCAACACCTCCACTGTGAACATTTTCTGCATGTTCACTGTATATTCCTTTTCCTTTCTCTGAAGTTTTTCAATAAACCATTAATTATTTTTATTATTATTTATCTTCAGTGCTTGCACCTGACTATACTATCATTTGCTAAAATGAAAGGTGAGGGGGCGCCCGGGATTGAACCAGGGACCTCTCGATCTGCAGTCGAATGCTCTACCACTGAGCTACACCCCCATTATTTACGGTCTAGTATATTACTGAATTACAGACCTATTTTTCTGTTATTAAGCACAGGAGGTGTGTGTATGCTTGTGGTGACGGAGCTGGACGCTGCCCTAAAATATCTCCTCAAACCCAGGACTTGGACTGGGGACTTAACTCAGTTAACTGAGCTATTTAGGAGTTGTGTAAGATGAAAAATACTTACATTCCTGTATGTGTTTGTATGGGTGATCGTTTGTATTTTTGCATATCCATAAAAAGGAAACTTCTTTATATACATATGAATATATGAAAAATAAGAACAAGATAAAGTAAGAGAAAGACACACACGTGACCTTCAGTGACTGCCTCACTCACTCACCTTCTGTTATTTCCCTTCCTCTACACTACACTCACCGTGAAAGAGAGAGAAGGGAGCAGAGAAAATAGTAATGAGATTTAGGAAGTGAGACAAAAAAATCACAAACAAACAAACAAAGCGAAAAAAATAAACACAGACGATCACAAAGGTAAACATGAATAGTAAATTAAGTTTGAATCCCACTTAGGTCGGGTGTTTGCAGGGTGTCGGCCGCCCTAGCAGAGTACTCCTACATCCTGTACCGACACGGTAATTTATTATCTCGAAACTGAGGGCCGCGTTGATTTCGGCAGCCTTAGTTCTTGACTTGGTATATCACGCTTCACTTTACCCTCATTTTACGGGTCAACCCCAACACCTCACACAGATCTAATACAATTATCATTTTCTCAGATCATTAATTGTACTTATATATTTTCACCTAAGACATGAGATAGCTAGGCTTCTTAATCTTACACAAATGGTAAATACCGTAGCTCTCAGAGACACTGTTACACTTATTCACAATATTACAAATATTAAGTACTAAATGGGTCTTCCCAACCATCATATAGGAACCTTGAATTCTCCATTAATTATCCTTTGATAATTTTGATAAATATGATTATATGCACAGATACTGGTATAATTCGTACCAAAAAAATCATACAAGAAAATTATATGAGTCACCCCTCAAAAACGAATATTATTTTCTGTAAAGCTGCATCATAGAAAACATGGCTACAAATCTATCAATTCAATTTTAATTTCAATTGTTTATTCCTTGATAGAGGAAGCGGGATCCTTGTGCTGTCACTAGGTACCCCTGTACAATGACACCAGAACCATCTGGCAAGTGTAACAAGTATATACAGTATAATTATTATAAAGGGGCTTACTAAAGCCTAAGGAAGGAAGGATATTCCTTTAACACATAATCAATGTTATTTACATAATATCTGGCCAGTATGGGGAGGATCATCGTGTCTCCGTCAGGGGGTCGTGGAGTGGTGGTCCAGCAGGCGTCACGGAAGCGTTGTGTGTGGGGACATCTTAGGAGGACAAATCTATCTTAGATTCTTAAACATATGATTTTGTTTGTTATGCATCTGTAATATAAGAGATTATAGAGACTAGTACTAACAGAAGGTTACTAGCAGTAACTGAAAGGTGTTTCTGGCCGAGAGGAAAGAAGTTACTAGCAGAGAGGAAAGGGGTTACTAGCAGATATGAAGGTGTTACTAGCAGATGTGAAAGGTGTTACTAGCAGAGAGGAAAGGGGTTATTTGTTTTTGTCAAGGTGTATTAAACTCGATTCTCTAGGGTGTTATATGCATTTTATAAATCATTTTGTATTTTATATATCTGATACAGTATAGCGTTTCATAAAGCTAACTTGTTTGAATGTATATTATGTGTTTGGAGTACAGTAACACATTGTTTTAAAACTGCTAGACTCAGCGAGTGATATAACTTCGGTTTTAATTAATATACCTAAACAAAGGACACTCCTGGAATAAGCATCTGGCAGTTTTGTTGGCTATCCTTGGTCAAATTGCCTTACTGCTTACTATTGTTCTACACCTACACTGTCTAGGCATATAGAAAATTGTATACTGTGAAGTACTCCCACGACCTACAAACTCAGAATACCTGCATTGTCTATATTCATGGTGAACTGTGTTCCTGCATCGCTTATAATTATTTTACATGCCTAATCAAATTGTAAACTTGTGTGGCAGTTTTACTGATTATATATTACAGCACATTGTTATTATTATTATTATTAACATCTTTGGCTTGTCTCTATACATGACAACAAAGACAAACAGTTACAAAAACAAATAAAGTTCCAGAGTTTTGTTCTGTACTGTTATTTTTTCTCTGTCAGTTCAATGTGTTGTTTCCTCAAGGTCCCTCAAGTACTCAGGAAGATGCTGTTCGATTGTCAAAAAATTACTATGTTTCCGCCCGGGATCGAACCGGGGACCTTGCGCGTGTGAGGCGCACGTGATAACCACTACACTACGGAAACAAACGATATGTATACATGAAATACTGTACTGTATATGGTTATTACTCCTTCTCTTCTTTCTTCCCACCCTCCCCCTTTTCCTCTTCATTCTTCCCTCTTCCACCTTTTCTTTCCTCCCTACTCCTTCACCTATTATTTTCTCTCCACTCCTTTTCATTTCCCCCTCCTCCTTTTCCCCTTTGTTAACCCCCTCCACTTCCTCCTCCTCCTCCTCTTTCCTACCCCTCAATTCCTCCTCTTTCCAACACTTCCTCCTCCTCTTTCCTCCTCCTACTCCTCTTTCTTTCTTTTTCCCTCCCCGCCCCGCCACGCTCCGCCCCTCCTCCACACTCACCTCTTTCTCTATAGTCAGAGTAGGTCGGAGTGGACAGCCTGGAAGGGTCCCTGGGCGCCCCACACAGCTTCCACCACCAACTTGTCGTCCCTTGATTACTTCTGTGCCACCACAGGACCGCATAAAGGAGCTCCTCGTCCTCCATCATTATCACCACCACCGCCGCCTGAGAGAGACATGTGGTTAGAGAGCGCTTATGTGTAGTCAAGATTATGAATTGGAGCGTTACAGTAAAAACCTCCATTTAACGGGAGTAAATCTAACCGGTGTAGTCCGTTATATGGAGGTTTAAGATTATAATACATCACCTCCATATAATGAACTGTACTCTCACACACATAGTCTTTCATAGTGGAGGTTCTACATCTAATGAATCTCGATAAAACAAACTATATACACTTTATCAAGTTTATATACAACGTTCAAAGAGCTTTGTTGATGAGAAAGTGCAAAGAATTATTGACATCTACATAAAACATGTGGATAATGTTCAGTATATTGCCTGTGTTTGTACTTCATCTTGAGCTAGCATCCTCGTATAGGGTAGTCCTAATAATGGGCTTGCAAGTGAAATAAATCCCCACAACCATTATTTCCCCACTTCTTACACCAAAATCCTATAGAAAAAAGAAATATTTTGTAATTATTGGGGTGGAGTACTTTCTCAAATTGTTCCTGCTATACTCCATAGCATACCAATGAGTCCCGTCTTATCTTTCGGGGTCTTCTTATCTTTCGGGGTCTTCTTATCTTTTGGGGGCTTCTTATCTTTCGGGGTCTTCTTATCTTTCGGGGTCTTCTTATCTTTCGGGGTCTTCTTATCTTTTGGGGGCTTCTTATCTTTCGGGGGTTTCTTATCTTTTGGGGGCTTTTTATCTTTCGGGGTTTCTTTATCTTTTTTTATCTGGGGCTCTTTTTGGGGGCTTCTTATCTTTCGGGGGCTTTTATCTTTGGGGGCTTCTATCTTTTCGGGGGTTTCTTATCTTTTGGGGGCTTCATCTTTCGGGGTTTCTTATCTTTTGGGGGCTGGGGGTGGTCTCGTCAGCTGGGGCTGTCTCGTCAGGCTGGGGCTGTCTCTGTCAGCTGGGGCTGTCTCTCTGTCAGCTGGGGGCTGTCTCTTGTCAGCTGGGGCTGTCTCAGTTGGGGCTGTCTCGTCAGCTGGGGGCTGTCTCTGTCTGTTGGGGGTTGTCTCTGTCTTTGGGGGGGGCTTTTATCTTTGGGGGGTTTCTTATCTTCGGGGACTTATTATCTTTTTGGGGCTTTTATCTTTTGGGGCTTGATCTTTT